GCTCAGTACACTGGTACCTCAGAGAATGTGGAACTCTAGAGTCTGAGGGGGGCGCACTTGGGCCCTATAATCAAGGAAGCAGCAAGAAACAATACTGTACAAATGCACGCCCCTCCCAACTTCTGCATACACCAACAATGATCATCAGCCAGCCCCGACCCCAAGGCGTACCTCTTCAGGCACCACTGAGGGGAAAGGGCAAATAGGTGGACATGGTTCCTACCAGGTGGCAGGTGGGTGAGCAGCAAGGATGGACCTAGGCTGCAACCTGGCTCCACCTACTTAGGCTTGCTGTGTGGCCCTCAGCAAGACTCCTAACCTCGCTGAGCCTCTGTTCCCAAAAGCTCTCAATCTACGGAATGCTAGAATCCTACAGAATGATCTGTGTCCTCTAGGAGCTTATGTTCTGGTTGGCAGAGGGAAGACACCCACATCCAGCTCGGTCTTGCAACTCTCCAGGCAGTCTACTGTGGCACCCTTCCCCAGGCTTTCTGCTCTGTAAATGGGGTGCTCGCCTTCACTGCTGCAGCTCTGGAGAACCAAGCATGCTCTGAGCACTGAGATACAAGCACTCTGCACAGCCGGGGTCACCAGATGGGAAAGCCCAGTCCCCAGGATATGCAGCTTACACCTCGCTTTACATACAGTGGGTGCTTAACAAAGCACTTGGCAGTAAAACAACAGGCACCAGAATACGATACCAGAGGGGAGCCACTGGTTCTCAAACAAACCTGCCCAGAGCCTCACCACCTAACCCTACAGCTGGCAGGCCTGGGCTCTAAAGCAACCTGCCACTTCAGGCTACGTTACATGACCCAGAGCTCATCAGCACTGGGCTTGCCTGCCTCGGGTTCCTTCCCTAAGCTCCCGGTGTAATGGTCATTCTGTTCTTCTAGCTTAGAGTTAGAGGAGCCGAGAGAAGTCAGCCCTCCTCCACCAGCCCTCCTTACAACCACCAGCCCATGTGGCCCCTCCTCCTGCAATTCTCTGACGTATGCACATGGCCACACCTGCAAAGAATGGTTGCCTACCAGCCACTCACACCTTAGTATGAAATTTCTTCAATGAGCTAATTTTCTTGCTTTCCTTCCTAAAGGAAACTGAAATCAAGCAGATGCGAGAAGGTGGAGATGCTGCAGAGGAGGGTGGCATGAGGGGGCTTTAGGTGGTCAGGGGGCAGCACCCAAGACTCTGAGTTAGGCAAGGAAACCAGACAGTCAGGTTATGAAGGCAGGGGACACCAGAAGGGACCTGTGTTCTCAGGTGCTATAGATTTTCGACTCATAGCGACCCTAGAGGACAGAGCAGAACTGCCCCATAGGGTTCCCTAGGCTGTAATCTTTATGGAAGCAGATCACCAGGTCTTTCTCCCCTGAAACCGCTGGGAGGGTTAAACCGCCCACCTTTCAGTTAGCAGCTAACGGCTTAACCATTGCACCACCAGGGCTCCTGAAGGGACCTGTAGCCTTTCTAGTTTACCCAAAGCCCACTGACTCTAGGTATAAGGGTCTTCAGATTTGGTGAAAGCCCCACATTCTGCCACCCACTGAGTGACCTTGGTAAAGTCACTTGACCCCTCTGAGCTTTAGTTTTCTCATCTATTCAGTGTAGATTCTGTATTTAAATGTGGAGGTGATGTAGAGACCAAGTGAGAGTGTTCAGTGAACTATTCAGCAGAGCTGAAACAAGTCTTCTCTCCCGCTGTCCCTCACCCTGCCCAGGCCTGTGACTGAGCCTCAAAATCCCCACCATTCCCCAAAGTGGCCTCAACAACAGGACAGGAAAGTGAAGTAGAGACCTTGGAGCGGGATAAAAATAGAACACTCCAGGCTGGGCGCTGGGATTGTCATTGTGCAAGACAAACAAGGGCGGTCTCCGTCCTGAGGCTGCGGACACCCTGCACAAGCAGGACGCCATCCCAAAGGACACCGGGAGGGCCGGGGCAGTGGGCTGGTGTGGTCTCTGGGTGGCCCACCAGGTTTGCCCAGTGGTGGCCTGGACAAGCACAGAGCCCTGGGCCCCTTGTAAACTACCTCCCCCCAGCCACTGATACTTAAACCAGGGCAGGTTGTCTCCATCTTGCCCCCTTACCCCCGCCAGAGCCTCACTTGGGGAGGGAGGGGGATTCTGGCTGGGGAACGCTGAGCAGGACCCCCACAGTGCGAGCTGGAGAGTCACACTGACTAGGCTCACGTGGCTGGCCTGCCACTTACAATTCGGGAAGTTGGACTAGAGTTAGCCCAGCTTTGGGCCTCCACTTCCTCATCTGTAAAGTGGGGAGAATCACACCTGCCTCACTGGGTTGCGGTGAGGAACTAATGATATGGAGAATGGACGGCACTTAGCAAAGTGCCTGGCATGCAGTGAGTGTCAATAAATGCCAACTATTGGCATCGTTATTTTCTATCCTGGGCCCTGGCCTGCCCAGCACATTCTGTCCGCTTCTGCCCCTCACCTTTCTGTTCACACCTCCCACCCTGCCCTCCTGCAAAACCTTGTATTCGTTCACCATCTTCCAACACCCTCAGGACCTCCTTCCCCAAGTCTGCCCTCCAGTGTGACAGCCACCACACCCACCAAGTCTGTAGCTCTCAGAGGGCGGAGTCAGCTCTAACCCACAGGGTCTCAGACGCCTGCAGCATGAATTAAACACAGCGAGCCCAGGGGGTGGGGGAGGCATGTGGGCTGGGGAAGGGTCTGGATGACCACGATGGGGAATGTTCTGTTCACCTACCGTGTCTACCCAGAACTCAGACCACAAGTCCACCAAGACCCCATTCAACCTCCCCACCTAGGAAATCCCAAATTTCCTCCCCAAATCCTTCAGCCCCTTAGAATCCCAGGCTACTGGGTATGAAATTTTCACAGGAGAGTCACATGGTCCTCATCCACAGTCAAGAGCGGCAAGGGCCTTCTCCTCGTCAGACAGCAGAGACTCTGCTCTAGGACAGCTGTGTGGAAATTCCACACACAGGCCCACTGGGCCCAAGGGTGGTGAAACCTAATGACTCCAGGGTCTCTGGAGACCTCCCAGCCTCCCACGGGTGCTCTCTGCTAGAGACCAGATTAGGGGAGGGGTTTCCTGCAGTGCTCTGGGGCCTGCTCCCTCCAGCCTAAGCGGTACATCAGGCCCCCTCTGGGATGACTGTAGCACCTCCAAACTCAGGGGGAGAATGTAGATGTCAAAAAATTACCCATCCGTCCCAACAACCAATGCCAATGCATGCCACCTAAATTAAATCTACTCTGGGGGCTGGCAGTGACAAAGAATTGTACATTCAGAAATACTTGTTAAGCCTCTGGCTTCCCAATTATATGTGGCTTATGTCCACATAGGCACAATGGAAAAAGAATGGGAAAAAAAAAAAAAGAATGGATTGAAATATGAACTTTTTGTGTTCATCTAGGTCTTTGGGGAAATAGTTTATAACTAAATACAGCCAAAAAGCAGAAAAAAACAAAAAAACCAAACTCATTGCCTTCAAGTCGATTCCGACTCGGAGTGACCCTATAGGACAGAAAAGAACTGCGCCATAGGGTTTCCAAGGAGCAGCTGGTGGATTCGAACTGCTGACCTCTTGGTTAGCAGCCGAGCTCTTAACCACTATGCCAGCAGGGCTCCAAAAGGCAGAGAAGAGAAGGAAATGGCCTGCTTACAGAGGAGCCACCAGAGACCAGAAGGCAGGTGGGAGTAGGATCCAGCAGACCTGACCCCAGTACCAGCTGTGCCATGAGCCCACTGTGTGACCCTGGGCAAGTCACATTCCCATTCCAGCTGCGGGTTTCTCCGTCTTTGAAATGGTCACTCTCTTGGTGACCTCCCACAGTCATGCTGAGAATGGACGGGGAAGGGCTCTGGAAACAGGAAATGGCCAGGCAGCCGGGAGCGGCCAGCACTGTCTTATCCTTAGAGTACGGCCAAGAATGACACCCAGAACTCCGTGGGAGACAACTGTCTCAAAGGTACATCCAGCCCTTGCAGAAAAGTGGGGGACAGAGCAGTGGTTAAGAGCACATGCAGACCCTGCAGGAGACAGCTCTGCCACTGTGTGACCTCTCTGCACTTCTGTGGCTGTTCTGACATCATGCACGTAGAGAAGGCTGGTGCAGGGCCCACAGCAAACACTCAACAAACAGCTATGATTACTGGCGCTGTTACTGCTGTTAGGAGATGAGGCGGGGGGAGAATAACTCAGATGCAGATAAACAGAGACCAGCTTCACCACAGATCCAGCCATGCCCACATGGGACTGGGACGCAGCCCCAGCCTGAGCTGACAGCCTCACTCAGTGAAGTGCCAGGTCACCAGCGCCAGCCATCCTCACAGCACATCCCGCTCACCATGTCCCAAAGGGTCCCACAGACTTTGCTGCCCAAGTCCCTTCAGGCAGTCACATGCCCCAGTTCTCAAGGAAAGCTTGATCGAGGCCTTCCCCGCAATGTGGGGGTCCCTATGGCCAACTCTTAATTGCCAAGAGTAGGAGGCTCCAAAGCAGCATCAGCCCAGAGGCACAAAACCAATGGCCTTTGGCAAACTCCTCACTTTGCAGACCACCCCCACAAGCGCATCCCGCCCACCCCTCTGACCCTTTGTATGGGTCCCTCCCCAAGAACGGGGACAGGAGGAGAAACCTCTGAAGGTAAGCGTATGATGGGACTCCATCTGCTGCTCCGCGGCAGCTGGGGGAAGAGGATCCCTTGCTCCGATGAAAGATTGAGAGTTGTGCTGGGCTTTTGTAAGGAGGGACAAGGTAGGGACAAATGGTTCCAAAATGGGTTGAGAGGTATTTTTGTAAGGATCATCTTTAGATTTTACTCACACAGATTCTTCTTAACCCCAAGAACACCAGATATGAAAATGGTGGTAACCTTCCCACCCAAGGGATGGGAGGAAAAGGAACGGGGGGATAAAAAAATAAACCTCCCTCAGCCTCCCGCCACCTGTCCCCTTCTATAAAGTTCCACATGACAGTAACATGCGAGGAGAAAACAATGCCAACCTGATAATTCGCGTGGAGCAGTGATGAGGGAGTTGGTGGCCTCTGTTTCAGTGTAAGACAATGTGGAATCAGACAGATCTGTGGGAGGAATGAGAAAGAACTTGGATGGCTGCAGGGCACTCCTGTCCTGCCTTCTCTTTCTCATACATACACGTGTGCATGTGCTTGCCTGCAAAGGGTGGATGCCCCTCACAACTTTCTGAAGCCCCTCTGCAACCTATGCCATCCGTGATCACCAGAGACCAGGCCACCCGACTCCCTGGCTGCTGGGGCTCTGGTACCTGAAAAAGCTTCAACTACTCTGACCACAGCAATAACCCAAGTTCTGGGGACTGAGCAAGTAACAACTTGGAGCCTCCTTGGGTAAGGTTAAATTAAGCCCCTAAACAATTCATAGTTGCTGTACTTAATTACAACCATTAAAATTCTTGAAGTTGTTCCTTCTTGCTTCCTTCCTTCCTTCCTTCCTTCCTCCCGCTGAAGCTGGGGAAACTTTGTTTTAACAAGTTACCAGCCATCCTCACCCTGTCCCGTTTACACCCCTCTAATTAAGGGCTCAAGCATGTGCTCCCAGATTAGCTTTATTTTTCTGTCTCCCCTCCCCAACCCCCTAACATCCAAACCTGCCCACAGAGCAAGTTTCAACACTTGGACTGGTTTTTTAAGGCATTCTTTTTGTTTTAAAGTAGTTTGCAGTACTTCACATGGCGTGCGTTATTTGTTTTCCCTGTCTGCAATGCAGTTAGATGGGGAAGGGAAATTCTTCTGCACGGAGGCTTCATTTGCTCTTGAATGTTAAGCTGCTAACTTGACAAGCCAATGCCTTTTGGGGCGGGTACACTTGGAAAATTTTTCCTGGGCCTGTGCCTCTGCTACCAGCAATGGGGTGTTGGCCCCGCTAAGGAAGAGGCCTGTCCAGGAGTCTGAAGGCATGTTCTGTGAAGCCTGCAGCATTTTCACTGTTAGCTTCTCACCCAAAAGGACCCAGGTCGGGCTCAGCTGGTCCCACCTGGCCCGAGAGAGCCCCTCGGCCAGAATTCCCAGGACAAAACCGTTATTAGTCTAGGCCCTAGCTAGCTAGAATTCCATTCGATCCTGCAGGAATTTTTTCCTTTTACCACATGGCTTGGGGAGCAGGAAGATGAAACATTAACCAATTTGGCCTCTTTTTTTTTTTTTTTTTTCCATTTCCCACTTGCCAGATGCTGACTGTGTGTTCTGGGTTTTATTTTGTTTTGGGGTCTCGTGATCACAGAGGCTTAGAAGTGAACTGACTTTTTGTTTATGAAAAAGCAACAATGCAAGGAAAAGAAAATAATTCAAAAAATAACTGGAACTATTAATCGGGCATGAAAAAGCTATCTGCTGGTAAATTGTGTTGGGAGGGAAATACGAACACATGGAAAATCTTTTTTAAAAAAAGAGTAATCACATCAGCACCTAAGCAAGAACCTCTTAGAAGAGTTTTGCTTTTCATACCCAATGATCCCAAAGTACTCAGCACCCTGGGCCCTTGCAGCCACTTCTCATTTTAAGTAGCGACATTACAGGCCGAATCCTATTGCTTAGTGAACCGTTGTAGGGCCAACACAGACAGCATCATAACGTTTTCGGAAGGAGCCAGAACGGCATGCGGTTTCCACCTTGCACAGCTTGTGAGCCGCTATCATACAGTGGCCAAACCCTCACATCTCGTGTTTTCAGTGAGGGCCTCAAAGTCTGAAGTCCACAGTGGCGTTTGTAGACAAAGAACACTCCCAACCTTGATTGCTGCTCAAGCCCAAGGAGGGACCCCTAGTCTGAAGGCTAGAGCCCTAGGTTCGAGTCCCACCTCCATCAGTTGGCTATATCAGGGTTCGGCAGACTTCTACAAAATGCCAGACAGTAAATGTTTTCAGCTTTGCAAGCTATACAATCTGTTATAACTATCAACGTTGCCCCTGCAGCACAAACTTAGACAGACAATGTGTAAATTGATGAGCTTGGCTGTGTTACAAAAAAACCTAATTTAAGGACCCTGAAATTTGAATTTCATTTAAGTTTCATGTGTCACAACATATATATTTTTTTTAACCATTTAAGAATGTAAAAACCATTCTTAGTTGGTAAGCCATACAAAAACAGGTGGTGGTCTGTAGTTTGCAGACCCCTGAACTATATGACCACATGCAAGTGCCACTTCCTCTTTCTGGGCTTCAGTTGTCCCATTTGTAAAATAATGGGGACACCTATTGGTCTCAAATGGTCACTCTGCAGGGCTGGGCAATGTCCTGATTTTTGCTGTTTTATCATAGGCTGACCAACAATCCCTTAGGGCAATGATCCCTGACATTCATTTACTAAGAACTTCTGAATTTTTTTCTTTAATGGAACCAGGGGCCTTCTAAGTGTCTAGCACAATTACGATGACTTAACGGATGCCAAGACAATCCTGTGAGAGAAGGATGGGGAACCGCAGACCTGAATCAGGGCCACTCTGGGTTTCCGTCTCAGCCTAGCTGCTTATGAGCTGGGCAGCCTCTCCCCCTCACTCAGCCTAAGTCTTCCTCTATCAAGTGACAGGGTCCCACTAGATGACCTCCCCAGCTCCCCAGGAAACTAAGTAAAGCTCTCCATCCACGGGATGATGACACTTCTGGAACGATAGGGAAGCCATTGTCGTTGAGCCACTGACTCTTCACATCCTCATGGGAGGGCCTCTGTCCTCCTTGCCTAAGAAGGTCAAACTCCTGAAGGGACCTCGTGGGCACTTCCAACTCCACAGGGGAGCCTGGAAGGAAAACTGGACTGGATGCCTGAGCATCTACAGCTCTAAGAAGTAACCTCCCAGATGATGCTAACACACTCGACTGGAAGGAGGCCTTCACCAAAAACCAAACAAAACCCACTTCTTATGGTTACTACGTGGAATGTACTAGCCTCACCGCCACACTATCTGACGTTTAAAGCTTGAGTCCCAAGAGACCTGCCTGGGCCACAAAGCTGTTCTCCTGGTAGCCCCCAGCTCTGGGATTCTACAAACCCCATCACTTCTCTGGCCCCAAAAACAGTGCTCTGAATCTCCACTGGAGATACATCCACAGGCAGGAACACAGAGGCACCAGGCAACAAGCGGTCTCGACTTTTCAAACCACACGTATCTCATACTCCAGAATACGAGCTGCTCATCTATCCCCTGGGTTTTACAGAAAACCTGTTCTATCTCTGAATGGGACTATCTAAAATGATACCACCACCTCCACGAAGCTCACCTAGCATATGGTCCATGCCAGAGGCTTTATGTACCAATCCACATTCTTTCTAAACATTCCAATTGTTGTTTCTGCCCAGGTGAATTCTTGGCTTAAAAAGGGGGAAAACATACAGCTCCTTTTGACAAAGACTTCATGCCCGACCTATTTGTCATACTACTAATTAATACACGCTACAGGAGAAGAACCCATGGCTGGGGGAGGGAGGAAGAGGAAAAGAGATAAAAATTCCAACCCAAATCCAATGAGATGCTTCAGTGAAAACCCATCCATCTCCGACAAGCCACGCTGAAAGGCTGCAGGGAGGTTAAGGATGAGCAGTGGAATTTCAAGATATAAAACAGTCCACTGCAGAGGCTGGGTCTGCTTTGGCCCAACTGCTGGTGTGTTTGTAAAACTTCACCCCATTGCAAAGACAACCAACCCGGCTTTTACCCTCCCCTCCAGCTGAGGCTGGGAGCTGGACTAAAGGGGAGCCCCAGATGGATACATCTCTACAAGCGTCGGAAGGGGAGCCCCAGAAGGACACACTTACCCAGTGGCTTGTACTCATCACAAGGAGACAGCCGAGAGTAGGGAGGTGGCGGTGATTCTGGAAGACAGGAGACAGCATGTCACTGCTGGGGTGGGGAGAGTTCACACCCTGGTTCACACCTGCGGGTCTAACTCACTGCCGTCGAGTCGATTCCAACTCATAGCAACCCTGGAGGACAGAGTAGAACTGCCCCATAGGGTTTCCAAGGCTGTAAATCTTTACAGAAGCAGATTGCCAAAAATCTTTCTCCCACAGGGCAGCTGGTGGGTTCAAACTGCCAACCTTTTGGTTGGCAGCTGAGCGCTTTAACCACTGTGCCACTAAAAGCATGTAGAACCCAAAAACCCGTGAGTTCTACACGCTTTTAACTGCTGATTTTCTCAAATAATGAACTCAGTCCCCAGGAAGACCTCCTCTTCTCCCACTCCCTCTGCTGCCCAAAATCACTGGCACAGCACTTACCAACAGTTAAGGTCGAAGGCTTGGGGTACAGATACGCTTGGGTCCAATCCCTACTCTGCCACCTTTGGCTGTGTGACCTCAGGCAAGTTACTTCACCTCTCTGGGCCTGCTTCCTCAGCTCTAAAATGGGGCTGATATTCTTACCAACCTCCAGGCTTGCTGGGAGGGCAAAAGGAGATAATGTATGCAGAGTGCTTAGTACAGTTCTTGGCACTGTGGAAAAATACTCCATAAACAGTAACTATTGTTATTTTAGGATTCCCTAAGTGGTGCAAATGATTAATGAGCTCGGCTGCTAACTGAAAGGTGGGAGGTTCAAGTGTATCCAGAGGTGCCTCGGAAGAAAGGCCTGGTGATCTACTTCCCCAAAAATCAGCCCCTGAAACCTTATGGAGCACAGTCCTACTCCGACACACATGGGGCCAACTCCACGGCAACTGGTTGTTTTTATGTTTTCATGATAACAAGAGAAACTTATGTACAGGGCAAGTCGGAGCCAGAGTTAACAGATTAAATGTTAGGACGCACAGTTCAATTTGAATGTCAGCTAAACAACACATCGTTTTTTAGGACAGGCATGTACCCTGCAATATTTGGGACATGCTAAAAAACGATAAGTTCTTCATCTGACATTCAAATTGAACTGGGCATCCTGGCATTTGTATTTGCAAACTTCGGCCACCCTAGTCAGAGCCAAGCTGTGTACAGACCCCAGACACTGCAACCCGTTCCCAGACAAGCTGCACTGGAGCTAAAGTTCGTCCAGGCAGGGAGGAGAGTGAGACCTTACTCAGCTACCTGGATAAAAAAACCAACAGGACGCCTTAAACCAGTCACTTGGGGCTCTCCGCCTCGGTCTCCCGCTTTGGAAAGGGCAGGGGTGGAATGCAAGGTCTCTACCCACCTTCCAGCTCAGACTCTGTGTGATTCTTTCTCATCTATGGTATTTTTCTTTTGGTTTCCTTTCATTTGCCTAAAATATTCCTCCTTAAGAACATATACTTTGCCTTCAGAAGAATTCCTTAGCTTCTTGCTTTATGGGAAGTAACAATTTGCTAAACTAAGTAACAATTTGCATGAATGAAATGACCCTTCATTTTCCGTAAATGAAACTAAACACCATCAAATGGCAAACTAAAACAAACTCACAGGGGTAATAAAGTGGTAATAACTATTATTAGGCGGGTATCAGTAATGACACAGGGTAATAAGTGTTTTTTGCAATTATAAGAAGGCACAATTCGTCGGAGGAGCACTGGTTTTGCTCCACACACCTGATGAGGTTTCACCTCTCCTCCACCCAGTTTTTCCAGCAAGAAGTTAACTTCCCAGAGTCAAGGCTCTGAGGCCTAGAAAGAGGGAATTTTCTGTGGACAACGAGTTGGGAAAAAGGAAAAGTAAATCATGGAACAGCCCCTGGCAGAGAAGCAAACATTTGCTGAACGCCTACTGTGTCTGGCTCTGTGCCAGGCACACTTAATTCTGTTTATTATATTTTATTCTTTTGGATCTCAGGTACAGAATGGCTCATCATACTCATCGGGCACCTATTTTTATTTAATCTTTCTTCAAAAATAAGAAAGTAAGTAAGATGGCCATTACTATCCCCATTTTTCAGATGAGAAAACTGATTTGCCCAGGGCCCACCCCCGCCAATCGTGGTGGAGCTGGGATTTGAGCCCAGGCCTGACTCACCCTGCTCCACAGCCCAGTTAGAGAGAGAAGCAAGAGCCCCGCCCCCGTTTACACCCCTTCATCCCCACTAGGTCCAGCACATTGCATACACAGGAAGTGCTCGTTAAGTACTTGTAGACAAAGACCACAGTGATGAGAATAATGGTATAAAGTTAGCCACGTCCATGGACAAGAGTGTGGAGCAAGAGACCGGGGCCCAAAGGGGTGATCCAAGGGAAACCCTAAACAAAATTCCAGAAGCCACCTTACCCACCAGCCCTCAGGCCTTGGAGGGGCTGGAGGCCAGACCCAAGTGAGGCCCATCCTTCTCAGGACAAGAGGCAAAACACAGGAAGGGCTGGCGCTCCATGGAGAAAGGGAATCGAGGCCAGTGCTCCCACCGTACAGGAGTCTGAAGCCTGGAGAGTGGAAGTGACTCTCCAAGGCCAGCTGGTTGTGGAGTCAGAACTAGAAGTCAGGGCTCCTGACCCCTAGCCTCATGGCCTTTCCACCATCCCACTTATCAAAAGGCCTGCAATTCCTGGATTAAGGTTGTTTTTGGGTGCCATCAAGTAGTTTCCGACTCATAGCAACCCCACGTGACAGAGCAGAACTGCCCCCATGGGGTTTTCTTGGCTGCAGTCTTTGCAGGAACAGATTGCCAAGTCTTTCTACCATGGAGCAGCTGGGTGAGTTCGAACCACCAATCTTTTTTGGTTAGCAGCCGAGCGCTTTACCATTTGTGCCAGTTAGCTTCACAAAAATCTGATTGGCTGAGGCCCAGGCCACACGTGGCGGGGAGCTCTGGACATCTGCCCCCAGATCTAGCCCCAAACATGAAACTAGACAGCCATGGGCAGTGGTAGCTAGAAGTCAAGCCACTGTAGTCAATCCCAGCATTTCTTCCAGGGGCTGCTCACCTGGGACCTAAAAGGTGGAGGGCAGGAAGGGCTCACTGAAGCCCCCAGTGGCTAGAGCCACCTGGGTTTTGAGCTGTGGCACCCACCACCCATGGCCACACCTGAGCTGGGGGTTTGTGAGTCAAACACGCTGGCTAATGAGGAACTACAAAGCTTTCAGGAGGGATTCCCCCAGGCCCCCATTTGCTCCCACAAAACAGTGTGCACAGAACTATTTACTATCTGTAAAGACTAGGAGCTAATCACTAAATTCTTCCTTCTGGAAGGCTGATAGACTCCGCCCCACAACATGCAGATTTAGAGGCGCGCAAGGGGGCTTGAATATCACCCACTCAACTTTCAACTGACGGGGCAATCAAGGCCCAGCCAGGACAGGACCTGCCCGAGGCCACATGTCCAGGTAGTCGCAGATGTTATTTTAATTTGCCTATGCAAAGGGGGAGGCCAATCGTGGGCCAATGCTGAGTAATTTTTTTTAATGAGATATAATTCACATACCCTAAGATTCACTCTTTTAAAGTGTACGGTTCAGTGGGTTTCAGCATATTCAGAACTGTGAGTCCAGCACCACTATCTAATTCTAGAACATTTTCATCACCCCAAAAAAAATCCCATCTCCATTAGCAATCATTCCCCTTTCCCCCCTCACACCACCCCCTGGCAACCATTCATCTACTTTCTGTCTCTACGGATTTGCCTATTCTGCATATTTCACACAAATGGAATCATACACAGTATGTGGCTTTTGCTTGGCATCTTTAACTCATCATACATTTTCAAGGTTCCATCCATGCTGTAGCATGAATCAATACTTCATGCCTTTTTATGGCTGAATAATATTCCATTGTATGGAAATATCACATCTTTTTATCCAGTCATCAGCTAATGGACATTTGGGTTGTTTCTACTTTTTGGCTGTTATGAATAATGCTGCTATGAACAATACCCTTAACTGCCACCCCAACTCCACTCCCACATGGCCAGGCCCCATGGAGAACGGAGACCCAGGACACTAACTCAGGCAGGCATGGTGGGATAGTCGATGATCGAGACAAAGTCAGAAGAAAAACTGTGAGTGGCCAACACGCCCTTAGTTCACTCCCCTCTTGGAAGTTGCCTCAGGACTTGCAAACGTTGTGTTGATTTTTAAATAATAATGTATATGAGGTAAACTTTGAGGGGAGAACTCCTAGAGCCCAGCAGGCCTTTCTGAAATGGGCACAGGAGAAAGAGAGAAAGAAATAGAGACAGAGACACAGGAACTCCAACTCCCCTCAACATCCAACCTCAGGCATCAACTTCAGGAATCGCCTCCAACTTCCTTCAGAAGCAAGAGCAGTCAGCCAGGGGCCAAGTGTACCAGAAGGCTAGTGCTCGGCTCAATTCAGCTCACCCCAGAGGAGCCTCTGGTTAGCCCCCAGGGAGTACCCCAGCCTTTTGGGATCTAGACCTTAATTCTAAAGCCAGAAAAAGAGTTCACAGCCTCTCCCACTGCCTGGAAGTTTCCATGTGGGACGTTTCCCTCCACCCCCATTTCTGCAGCCCAGCATCTTGCTTGGCTAAGGATCCTCCCTGGGCCTCCGAGTTTCATTTCTCCCAAGCAGTGGCCATGGGTGGGGAGGGGGGCTCCCGGGCACTCATCCCACCCAACCCCAGACCTGAAGGCTCTACCCCAAATCCCAGGGTGGGTGACATGAAAAAGGAGCCCCTGGCACTTTAAGGCCGGCTGAGCCTAATTGCCCAGATTCCCCTGGCAGCCAGATAAATAGCGCGGCCGGCTGGCGCCAGCAAGAGGCAAACTGCACATTATCACCCCTTCCTCACCTCTGAGGAGAAGCTCGGAGGAGCAGGGCAGGCAGGCAGGCGGGCGGAGGGGCCGCCCGAGAGCCAGGCAGGGTGGGGCGGGGGCTTGGAAGCCCAACTTGAAATCGATCTCATTTCAAAGGGATAATGCTAGGCCAAATAAAAGGAAAACTTTCTAGCCCATTCTAATTCCTATAGTCCTGCCTGGGAACCCTGTGTTTTCCTAGGCGGCCTCCTCCAGTCATTTAGAAGTTCTCTCTCTAGCTCTGTCTCTTTTTCCCTGGCTCAATTTGGATAATAGTAATTTACTGAATATAATTACAGAAAAAAAAAAGTGGTAAAGCAAAGAGCAGGAGATTTATTCCAAAGTTAATGGATACTTTTAGGAGAAAGGAGCTCTATAAACACAGGTTAGAACTGTGATTAAAGTATTTCTCCACATTTCCGTCCACATAGGCACCCACAAGCTCAGGGAACTGGCTTTTCCCGGGACAGAAAGACACGCGGGGGGAGGCAGAGCTAAGGCTAGACTTCCACGGGGGTGGGAGGCCAGGAGGCTGCGGGGCAGTGCCCAGGACAGAGCCTGGAACAAGTGGGGATCCTCTCAGCAGGACCCCAGTTTCTGAGGCAAGCCTGGGGAGAGAGGACAGGGCAGGGGTGGAAGGCCTGTGTCAGACCTGTCTCCTGTCCAGCCCCTCACTTTACAGATAGGGAAAGAGGCCCAGAGAGGGAAGACTTGCCCCAGAATGAGTTGAAGCATGGAGCAGGGCTGGCTCTCTGGGAGCAGAAGTCTACACTGCCCAGGAAGGGGCCTCCTATCACTGGGGCTCCCTGGGAGGATGGGCTGAGGTGACTAGTGCCCAGTGGGTGTCTCTCAGTTGGTCTGCTGGGCACTCTCCAGCAGCTGTGTGCCTGTCTGTCTGTCTGCCCCAGTGCCCCAGCCCTCTCCCCAAGAGCCCTGGAAGGAGCAGTCTCCTTATCAGGACGCGCACGGCTGAGCTCCAGCTATGCACCCGCCCAGCAACAAGAGCCAGGCTGGCGGCCAGGCGGCAGGGGCGGGCGGGGTGGGCAGTGAAGGGCTCCCCCAGTTCTCAGTCCCCGAGGCCCAAGCCATCAAGCAGGGGATGAAGCAAGAGGATCAAGCTGGCGCCTACTGGAAACTCCTCCCAGACCATTAGTGCTCCCAGATGCCCCAGGGTGGCCTGAATGGAGGCCCACCGGCTAGTGAAGAGATAGGGAAACATACTTAGGGCGCGGCAGCACCTACAATAGCGCCTCCTTCTGGGGGAAGGAGCCAGTCAAGTCCCAGTGCTTGGTCTAGAATTAATTAGATATGAAGAGTGTTCCTAGAGCAACACCCACTGACCGGTAGGAAAACTGAGAAGAGGTAACTTGTCCAAGGTCAAGTTGTCAGTTACTTGCGGGGCAGAGCCTAGGACCACGTCTGCAGTTAAGAACCTTTCCACTGCAGCATGCCCCGTCTCCCTCGACCTCTGCTTCTCCAAGTCCACCAAACTCAAACCAACACCCAAACAGACTTCTAGAAGTGGCGTGGTGGTGGTGAGGGAGGATTCTGTCTGTTGTCTCCAACTTTTTCACTCCTCCCCTTCCGGCCCACCCACCTGAACTTGCCTGACACCTTGACTCTCAACTGGCCCTCTCCTCCTCCTCCTCCTCGCTCCCGGCTCCAGGGCTCACCTTTCCTAGAGGTGATGCTATTACACATCCGATAGTGCTCCTGGTACTTCTGACCCACTGACCTGACCTTGACCACTTCTCTTCTCCCCCCATCTCTGCCCCATCTCCCCCATAAGGTTAAGCTTCCTGAGGGCACAGATCCTACTCATATTTCCATTCTGTCCCATACAGCACAGTGCCTGGCACAGAGTAAGTGCTCAACACATATTTGCTGGCAGACTGAAGTGGCAGTGAAAAGATACCTGTCAGGGCCTTCTAAGACAGCAGGGTGGACCCCACTACCCATCTCCCACTAAAAAAAATTAACAAGGACAGGGCAGTGACAAATAAGGCAATGACAAATGACTTTCCCGGACTCAGGGAGGAGACAGGAGTAGCAGAGGGGAGAAAGCCACTTTCAGGGAGAAAATGAGAGGAACAAGGTGCAAAGACAGTCTGGTGTGGGCCACAGGTCAGGAACGGCCGAAAGCCCCTAAGCCAGGCCTGGAGTGACCACGCAGCGGGAGGAAGGCACAGGGCAGCCCCCATCAGCGCTGCATCTCCCCCGCCACTTCCATCACTGGCTTCCATTAAGGACCCACCACTAAGGCACCCTTCTTTTCCCTCCAACCACTAACCCACACACAAGCCAAAGACACCTGGGATAAATTCATGATCCCAGGCCCCGCCCCTCTTCCCTACTGGAAGTCAGGAGACCTGTGATGGAACCCTCTATGTGCCCCCAGACCTGAGGAACTCAGAGCCCTCCCAGGCCCAACAGCCTGAAACTCTATGACAGTCCCCTCCACTCCCCTGCCCACAGAACCCACAATGCTGCCCAAAGGATTCACATACACCTCTAAGATGCTACAGGTTAAAATGTGTCCCTTACACTGCACAGGTCAGAGCAGGAGATATTTTTGCAAGCTTCTGGCCTGCCAGGGGCCTCGGGTCCTCACCAATGCTCCAGCACCCAGGGCCTGCCCAGGTAAGCAAGGTTGGGGTGAGGAGTGTACAGGAAATCCAGGAGGAGAACAAAGAAAGCAAGGGGCAGTTCTCAGCCATAATCAAACATCTGGCCTCCTCCCATTCACGGGTGCCTCCTGGGCCCTGGGGGTGGGGGGTATCCTCAACTCTATAAAAAAGCTGGAAACATGAATTGAGAATGATGATGGAGGACGCTGGCATTTGACACCCAAGGGATGCTAGGTGCAAACAGGGCAAGAAGGTAGTCTCCACTTTGAGAGAAAGGTCACCCTGCAAAAGCTTTGTTCTTAAATATGCAAAGAACAAGTGGTCAATATACAAGCACTTTTGACTCTGGCCATGATTTGTCTACATCCCATTTCAGTACTTGTATCTACTTGGATAGAAAAAGAGACAGCGTGAGTGTAGGTACATGCAGACAAATGCTAGAGGCCTGGACACAGACTGGGGGCAAATGCATGGGCGGCAGGGGTACCCATCGTTAGCCTCTCCTAGGAGGACCTCAGAGCCCTCCCAGGCGCAATAGCCTGTAACTCTTTAAGAGTCTATTCCCCTCCACTGTCTATGAAGTTGGAGCCTGCACTAGGTCCCTTAAGTTGCACAGAGAAAACGCCAACATGTACCCTTTTAAGTTTGCTGGAGCTTTGTCATTTGATGTGTGGGCTCAGACACCCACTCCCCCACTCTTCTTCCCAACTCCCCTCGGCAGGGGTGAGGCAGACAAAAGAGTGTGGACGCACCTCCACTGGAGGCTCTCACACCCCATGGGTACCAGGGGGCGCATCCGCAGCTCGTCCCACCCGAGGTGTCGCTGACAGAGTGAAGGCTACGTAAAGGGAGGGGTGTATTCCCAGGCCCCCGCTGGGCGCGGCGCGCTCACCTGGCCCGCAGAGCCGGCTGAAGTGGTAGGGGTTGCAGCACACAGTTGGGCCGTCGGCGGCGGCGGCGGCGAAGCTGTGGCAGCCGCACAGAGGCTTCAGCTCCACCGCGTGCTGCAGGTCGGGCCAGCGGAAGAGGCGGCCGAGCAGCAGCTGCGGCGGCGCGGGCTGGCCGCCCAGGCGGAGGTCGGCGCGCGGCACTAGCACGCAGCCGCCCGGCACACCGCCGCGGGACTCCACCGCCTCCAGCAGCGTGTCCAGCGAGCGCTCCTTGAGCCGCTTCAGCAGCGAGTACGTGACCGTCTTGAGCTCCTGCTCCAGCAGCAGCAGCCGCGAGCGGGCTTCGCGACTCTGCCCGCCGCCCGCCGCCTCCAGGGCAGCCCCGGACAGGGGGTCGGCGGCCTCCCGGGGCGCGCCGGCGGCGTCTCTCTCCGAGAACAGACAGCAGGTCACCGTCTCGCAGTCACTCTCGGGCTGCCAGCCCGGGCCTCCCGGCTCCGCCACTTCCAGCGGGGAGCCCCCAGCGCTAGCCCCCGGCTCCGACATGGGCCTCGGGGGGCCCCCTGCGCGCCGACGCCTCCCAGCGCCCTGGGCGCCTCGCTGTCCCACCGCGTCCCGGGGCCGCCGCGGGGCTACCGGGCGAATTTCGGAGCGACTGCAGCCTCCGCCTTCGCGTGCCCGCTGGGCCGGCTCAGCTCGGCTGCCCAAGCTCCCATCCTCTTCGCCGCCGCCGCCGCTGCCGCCGTCTTCCTCCCGGTCGGGGACCACACGACTTCGCCAAAGTCGCCGCACCAGCCCCGAGCGTTTGGACCTGAACATACGATATCCTTTGGCGCCGGGGGTGGGAGGGAGGCGGTCTCCGGTTACCGGGGGTCCGTTCCCTCAGCGAGGCGCCGGCTGCGCGGGCCGCAGCCCCACATGAAGCTCCGCCGCGGGGCGCCGTGCAAACCGCGCACAGCTTGTCGTCGAAGGGGCGCCGCAGGGCTGCAACATGAGGGAGCTCGCCGACGCGGGACGGCCGGGCAGGGGTGGCCGGGAACACGCGCTTGGCAAGCCGCAGTCCGCGCCGGGCCAGCGGCTACATGGACCCCGGCGGCTGGCCTGCTCAGCAACTCCAGCCCCCGCGCTTTAGGGGGGCTGCAGGCGCCGCGCCGCCAGAAGGATCCCGCATGGGCCGGCAAACCTTCAAAAGTTGCGCGGCTGGTCCATGAGCACAAAGCGCTCGCGCCGAACACCCCAAATGTCTTTGGGAAGCCCTGCCTCCAAAACCCAAGCGCTTAACTACATGGGCTTTTCCTGCAGGATCCGAAAACCAGGCTTGTTGATACTTCAGCTCCCTTCTTACCCCCTGTAAAAGGGCAAAAGAAAAAGAAACCCCAAACAAAACCAAAATCCCTGGATTTGCATGCACGTAAGACCAACTCCGTCTCTGATCCCAGGCGCTAGATGCACTTGGAGCGAGTTTCTCCTGAACGCGGTGTCAACACATGAGTAGAACTGTAAAAATCCCGAAGAGCTGCTGGGAAGCCTTAATTTAAAATACAATCCACCGAGGCAGAGGTCGCAGCCTGCCCCACGCTGCGCTCGGTCGCTCCGGGCGCCGCGGTTGCCGAGGTCGCCCCCCACCCCTCTCCACAAAAAGTGCCTCCCGGTGGCCCCGCGGTCCCTACGAGGTCTGGCGAGGCAGCGCCTGGCGGCTCTTTCTCTCGGCTCGGCTCCCTCGCTCGCTCTCCCGCTCGGCTCTCTCTCTCTTTTTTGTTCTCCTCAAACGCACACTGAGGGCCCCCGGAGGAGCGCCGCGGAGTCATTGGCTGCCTCCCATCATATGCCAGTCTAGACACTTTGGCGGCTCCGCGGCGCTGATTGTTGCGCAAACAAGGTTTCAAGTTTCTTAACTCTTAAAGGAGAACACGTCCCATTGCAGGGCCCGAGGCTCCGACTCCTGGGGCGG